AATGAACCCACAGCAGTGCCTGCTAGCGATCAGGCTCGGACAGGGCAAGTTCAGTAACTGGTGCCTGTCTTTCCCACTTGGAAAAGGGTCGGCCTCAGACCAGTGAGGGATGCCTCTCCAGGCATCCATGAGTAGATTCAGGCAGAACCTAGTGAGAGGAGAGTGCTGAGCTCAGCCTGGCAGAGTGGACTTATTTTTTAACACTGTCTTTCACCCCCTGACTTGTCATCTCATTTATCTGCTAACTTATTTCTGCTTTTGGTAAAGTCCTCCAGTGTGTGTGTGCTCCTCCTTGGAGGACTTTTTTTTTCCCCCAATGCACAGCCAATGAGCTGTGAAGCACTTTCAGGACCCAAAATAGAAAGTCTTTGAGAGAGCACGTGGCTCCCCCAGGGATCATTCGGACTTGCTTGCTCAGATGCTAGGAGAGTAGGGCAAGGAAGACTGGTTGCCTCTGAGGGGTGGGCCTCCAGAGGGGATATGATTTCTCAGTCTCCATCCTCATGGTTCATTTCAAATCATTTTGAATCATTTCAAATCTATGCCAATTGTGGCATTCTCGCTAAGCTATCCTGACCTGAAATGAGAAAAAAGTTGATTGCTTTCTAAGATAAATGAGCTAGCTATAACATGAAAATTTGAGGATTTCTGAGGGTGAGAGCTGCACTTGGGTATTAGCAACTTCAAACCAAGCCATTAAGGGGAAAAGAAGGGGAAAGCTTTAAACAAGCAGAAGCCTTTCGCCTGCTCTGCTAATCCACCTTGAGATTTGATGACTCATATTGGGTTGCCTGGGTAACCATGACATTAGGAAAGGGTGTGTGTGTGTGTGTGTGTGTGTGTGTGTTGGTGGGAAATCCTTTTCACACCTGGCTCCTGTGCCTTATCCTGGGAGTACTGAGAGCTGACCCTGAATGTGCAGCCAGTGCCTTTGGCACCCGGCAGTGGCATGGTCTGACCCTAGGCTGCTTGTCATTGATTATTTTCTCTGGGTGAGCAATTTTGACGGAGAAGACATCTCTTAAGTTTGCCCAAAGGCACTCAAAGTGTGATCAGAGGTTCTGTTAGCTCTTTTCCATCCCCTCCTGGCTCTCCTTATGGGGACTGTGGTTTGTTCCCATCAAATGAGAGCGACTGCAGCCCAAGGGTGGTTTTGGTCCTTGGGAAATCTAGTGGGTCATCCCAGGCCTGGTTCTGTGTCCTTACAGCCAGGTGGCCACATGTAATCAAGACTACCATGGCTGCCCATCTCACCATAGCATCACCCGCAGGGGAAGGGTAGGGGACTATAGATTCCTAGCCTACCTTTTCTAAATCTGAAGAGCAACTCCTCTAATCTCTGGTTTGCTCTGGAGGGCCAACTGTGGAGAAACAGCTACTACATCTTGTTCAGATTTGGTTGAAATGGAATTTGCAGTAAGGGTCAAACATTCAGGTGAAATTACATTGTAGCAAATCCTTCGCATAGAAATGCCTCCACCCAGCTCTTTGCCTCCTGGGAAGACCTCTGGATTCAGTGAATCCTCTGCAATTACTGATTCTATGCAGTGACCATTTCATGTGGTCCTAGTCCAGGAACCATTACCAATACCATAAAAATCTCAGGAAAATGACATTTGTCAGAGAATTGACTAATATTCAAGAATAAGTGGTGTTACACAACACAACAGAGAACAGTCCACAAATTGACCAAATACAAGCGGTAAGACCTTAGACAAGTCACTTTGACTCTGTGCCCTCAGTTTATTTATTACTAATGATGAGGCTAGTAGCACCTTTTAGGGCACAGTGAGAATTCAGGGAGAGAGTATGGGAAGGTGTTTTGGGATCTGGAATTCACATTCCAGTAGAGGGCTGTTACCATTAATTTAGATGGGATTTGAATCCAAGCCAGTACAAGTACATCAAAATGTTTGACCCAGACATTGTCTTGTTATGATATTTACAATGTTTTTCACTAACACTATCACAGCAAAATTTGAAAATATTTTCCAGTTTTCTTGAGATATGATTGGCAAATAAAAATATAACATATAAAACCTGATAATTTTTACACACACACACACACACACACACACAGATACAATTTGTGAAATGAGTCCCACAAAAAAATGAAGCTAATTAACATACCAGCACCTCACATAGTTATCTTTTTTTGGAAAAATGTTTTTTTGGTTTTGTTTTGGGTTTTTTTTTTCTTTTTGGTGGGAGGAACTCAATTATACGGTATATTATTATTAATTTCAGTCACCATGTTGTACTTTAGCTATCCAGAACTTATGCATCATATAACTGCAAGCTTGTAACTTTTGGCCAACAGCCCTCCATTAGCCTATTTAAAATTTAGAATTCTAAGTAAGAATCCCACATATTATACTTAAGATACGTAAATTTTTTTTTAAGTCTTTTGCTGTCATGCACCCAGAAGACTCAAGGGATAAGAACGGAGGAGACGGAGTGACACACTCCTGACCCCTCCTGCAGTGTTACTGCTAAGGCAGCAGAGTGGCAAGGCAAAGAAGAGGGACTTGGAAATCAGACACACCTGGATTCCTGCTGAGCTCTCTGCTTCCTTGTCCCTGACACTAGGCAAGTCACTTAACCTCTTTAGTCCTCAGTTTCGTCGTTGGTAAAATGACTTTTTAAAGTGAGCCATAATAATGACTCATGGGTTTCTTGTGACTTTTAAATAAGCCAACGCATGGAAACACTTCACCTGTTGACTATGCATAGTAAATGCCCCAAAATGTTAGTTATTAATAATTCCTATCATTAGTTTATTTCCTCATCATTTAATATCAAGTACTTCTAAAAATCTTCTTAGTTCTGGGTTCATTTTGCTGTAGGTTGAAGATACTAGAATTCACACATATACACACTTACAGATGGAGAACAGTTTGAGAAATGTGTCATTAGGTGATTTTATCATTGTGTAAACATTATAGAGTGTATTCATACAAACTAAGGGGGCTACAACATTACTAGGCAATATAATCCATGAACCCGTTGTCGTATATATGTGTTCAGTCATTGGCCAAAATGTCATTATGGGGCTCATGACTGTATTACCACTTCTATTTATGACTTTAAATTGCAGTAGTTAGAACACACGTCATAATGTGAAATCACCTGGCACAGTGCCTGTGCTCCAGTGAGTGTTCTGGAAACCTATCACTTTGGATGAGGATATGTAAAAATGTGCAATGCCAGACTTAGGCATTTGAATTAACTTTGATAAGCAACATGGAGCCATTGATGGTTACTGAGGAGGAGAGTGTGTGATGGTATCTGAGCTTTAAGAAGACAACTCTGAGAACAGGATACAGAGTGAGTTGCGTGGGAGGATGTCTGGATGCAGAAAAATTATGACTATGCTGCCAAAGATAGAGTTGTAGCAGAAAGACTATAGAGAATGGATTACGCGGAGAAGCAAAATAAATGTGGGACCCACCAGAAGCATTTGGAGCTGGCAAGATGGAAGTAGAGGAAGAAGTCAAGATGAGCAGAAGGTTTGTAGGTCTTTCTGCCAACAAGGTAATGCAGAGTGGAAATGGACAGCTGAGTAAGGACTGTTGGGAGGGAAGATGACATGTCACATCCACTTGGACTGTTGGGTTTGAGGGGAGGGGTTGGGACAGGTGTACAAATACGGAAATGCATATTTAGAGATCGTAAATATGCTCGAGGTAAAGTAAAGGGTCCTCTGCTTGAGGATTATCACTAAAGCCTGAGAATCCTCTTCCAGAGGGGACAGGAGGAGGTGCTCCAGGGAAGGAGTGGCCAGAGAGTGAAGCGGGAGGTGGGACATCATGGCTGTGAAAAGGAGTGGACATTAGATAGGATGAGGGCCTGCCAGTCAGGGAGGAGGGGTCTTGGAACTTGGAGATGCCCTCTTTAAAGGAAACCAAGGATGGGCAATCAGGAGAGGGAAGCAAGTCCGTTGCCCAAATAGCACTAAATGCGTAATGATGTAGGCACCAGTGGCTTTGGAGCAGGTCTGAGTCTTGCCAAAGAGCACACCCTCCTTTCTAAAAGCCACTAGTAAAGGTGACGATTTGATAAGAGGCCCAGCCCAGTGTGATCTGGGACAAATTTCCTTTTTAATTTCAGTTCTGTCTTTCTAAAAGGAAGTAATGGGTCCAGATAATCTCTAAGGTGTCTTATTAGATGAGGAGGAGTTTGTCATTAGTTTTCCTCCTCATTTTGGAAACAATTCAGCTAATACATACATTATACATATATAATATATTATATATAATATAATTATCAGATTCTATATACACACATTCACAAAAACCCCACTAAGTTGCTCAACTGGTTTTCCTTTCTGGTTTCCTACCATAGCCTAAATCTATGTCTGATTTTCCTAAGTCTTCATAATGCTTTGTTTTAAAATCTATAAGACAGAGGAGGGAGGGAAAGAAGAATAAAAATGTGGCTAGGCGTGGTGGATCATGCTATAATCCCAGAGGCCCAGGAGGCTGAGGCAGGAGGATCGCGAGTTCAAAGTCAGCCTCAGCAACTTAGAAAGTCTCTCAAGCAACTCAGTGAGATTCTGTCTCTAAATAAAATGTCAAAAAGGGCTGGGGATGAGGCTCAGGGGTTAAGTTTCCCTGGGTTCAATCCCTTGTACAAAAGAAAAAAGAATAAAAATGTGCCTCTTTCCTGGCCTGCCAGTGATTTGCTTTGGAGGAAAGATGAAGGGCAGAGAATAATTTGCTCTCATATTATAATAGTTCTGTGGGGGTAAATAGTTTATTTTCCATATTTTACACTGGATAAAACAAACCAGAGAAGTTAACTAATCTTCCTCAACTCACACAGATAATTAAACATTTACTGAGTAACTCTGATGCTTGACTTCAGAGAGACAAAGATGATCAAAACATTAACTAGCTGTGTGATCTTAAGTAAATGAGTTGATCTTTTTTGGCTTCAGCTTTATCTCCTATAAAAGAGGGTGTGGGGGGACACCATTCTAGAATTTTTCCTGTCATTATTTCACATGTTAGGATTTGGTGTCCAGGTCTCTGAATCCCCCTGTTCTTGAGGTAAGACAGAAAAAAAATAAAAGGTAAGTAGAAAGGAAACCAAAGAGACTTCTACTTTAAATCTAAAAACTCCATGATCAGGGAACTCATACCTTTACTTCCCAGGCCTGTCCTTCCTCCTGGCCTGTCACTCCCAAATTCTTAAGAAATCTATAAATCTTAAAGTCACCATAAGCTGTGAAAATTGACGTTAGTGCTTATGAGCCCTGCTAGTTAGCTTATACAATGTATTTTTAGATTAGATAACACAAAGTTGATGTATTTTAAAGAAACCTATGATAAAGGCACATTCCAAATGTTATCTAGGTAGAAGATACAAGGTCAACCTGAAGATCCTGGAGGAAGACCAGACCACCATAAAGGTCTAGAGGTCCATGATCAAAGAACTAAGTTCTATAGGCTGATGTCATTCCCCACACACCTTTCTATGCCCACCTCTCCCAAAACTCCCTTGTGACAACCTGCATTCTGCTCTGAGAATGCGAATCTTCACCTCTTACTTTCTAAAAAAGCTCTTCCTCTTTGCTAAAATCTGACGCATTCTTAAATTCTTTTGTGTGATGTGTCATGAACCAGGAAGGTCCAAGTAGCAGTCTGCTCTACTTCCTTAAAACCCTTACAATGACATTCTGTCACAGGAAAGGTGGGAGGCTTTGCCTGGGTCTAACCGGGTCTAGGGTGCGTGTGCTTCTTGATGCAGGCGTCCATTGGAAGAGATGAAGCACCTGCTCTTCTCCAAGCAGTTGCAGTTAGACAGTTGGCTGTAGGAGGTGGTTCTGCTTCTGCGTTTCCAAGATCAGGGGAAGGTGGGGGCCCAAAGGGAAGACAATAAGACTCATACCAGATTGTTAATTGAGGGGATTATTTTTAAGTCAGCACTACCTTCTGCCTAGCATGCTCACAGTTGGAGATGTTTTTCAGTATCTTTCAGCCTGCATCTCCCATGGGAAATAAAAGTCACTCTGCAGTTTCCCCAATCTGATCTTGCTAATCTTGCTAATCTTCCCCAATCTGATCCTTATGTTGTGAGTGATCAGCAAAGTGATCAATGTCAATATGAACACGCCCATTTGTATGCAAGTTGAAGAATGTGAATCTCTGTGAATCCACCAGAGAATTTGGCATGACCATTTCTCCAGGGTAGTGGAGGCATTAGGAGCTTTCACTCTGGCTCTGTCATTTTCAAGGTTGTGTCATGAGTGATGTCTTAGGTATCTTAGGGATATTTTGAGGATGAAGTGTTCTAATTCATGGGAGATGCTTGGAGCAATGCCTGACAGACACAGTAAAAACCTAAAATATGTACTGTTAATAGGTTCTTAGTATTTATAGGCAATTAGTTCACAGCCTCACACAGTGTCTCCACACTGGTGATTCTGGATGTAATTCTACCTTCCTTCTTAGAGCAACCTGAGAGCCTGACATCAATTTCCTTGGACATTTCAGGGACCAGGTCATAGATTGTTAATATGTCTTTATCAATGAAAAGATTTGAATGAAAAATGAGGCATCAGTCTATCCCAGATTCCCTCCAGTGTCCATAGCCAAGGAATCCACTGACCTGGCTCAGCTTACTGAGAGTTCACAGTGAGCTTTTCGTCACACTTAAAGGGTCCTGTCCCACCCCTTGATCCATGCTGGTTTTTCAGTCAAGGGCCATACCCAGAGACTCCACTTTTGGAGTCTTCATAACACTTGACTTGTGTCCTGTCAGTCACCCAAGGGGAAAGTTGTCTGGGCTGGTGCCGATTCTCAGGCAGACTTAAAAAAGGACTGCACCATGGTCCTTGCTCTGTATGGCCAGGAGAATTCTCTGCACATCCATCCAATCAAACTGCTGCTGTCCTTGGAAGGTGGGGGTAGGTCAGGAGCGGGTAGGAAGGGTTTGTTAAGACCTGAATTGCTTTTTCTCCAATCAAAATAAATGTTCCTTATAGGGAAATAAGTTGATTATTCTAAATCAAAAGTAACCAGTATTTCTTATAATATAAAATATTCAGCTAGAACTCTTTATTTCTTATAAATACCTATCAGAAGTCCCCACGGAATAGAAGCATGCGATATGAATATATCTCAGTACTTTATAAAGTATAGATTTCAAAAGAAAAGATGGTCCTTTGATGGAATAAGTTCCCCATCCCTGACAAGGAAGGATTCATCCTATGCAGGGTAATCAGATCACATGGAGAGGTCTCTGTTTTAGTGGCCCTCTGAGAATAAAAATAAGAATTTTGCAATAACAGAATAAGCTTCTTCCAAAGTAGCCCAGAGCACACTTTCGGTGGTGTGTTCAACCAAAACATCTGCTATGGATTTTCCTAGTTATTCTAAACATCTAGGTCAAGACAACAATAATCCTTGGGAACCCTTCAAAGAAAGAAGGGTCCATGTTAGCATTGGAATTAATCCTATGTGAGCTTCTCAAATAATAATAATTTTAAAAAAACCACACCTTTATCAAGTGCTTAGTATGTTCCAAGTACAGGGCTAGATAGATCTTGGCAGACATGAAATGGTATCAGAAACACTTAGCACACAAAGGTGCCTGTGTTTATATGAGACACAGGGACTTAAGAGGTCAAACTTATTCCCCTGTTTCCACATGGTAGTGCTGTGCTTTGCTTGCCTGAGTCACGCAGAGTTAGAGGAAGAACTCAGAGGAGAATCTGGAATTGAGTGAGGGGAGAACAGAATTGACAGCCTCAGGGAAGAAAGGGGAAATGTAGGGTGAGGGCTGACCTTAGCTAGTCTGGTTCATAGAAGAAGATAACTCTACTCTCCCACCAAGTCTGATTCTAACCCTGAGACTGAGAGGAAAACATATCAGGTCTCTTCTTTCGCCTGCCAGTGCTAAGACCTTGCCTTTTAGGGCAGGTAGCTGACAGGGTATCTTTCCTTGCTCTGCACTCCCACCCCTCTTGAGAAGAGCCCTGACCACAGGCAGTAAGGCTGTGTCTGAAGCAAGGCACACACTGATAGTACTTGCATTTTCTGTGCTTGAGCTGCAGAAGGACATTTCGTGTCCCACTTAGCAAGTCTGGAGGACTGTCTGATTTGTGGATGATAGCACAAGTCACCCGGCCCGCGATGGTGGGTGAAATACCATCTGATTCAGAGATTCTTTCGTGACTTCCTCCAGAGCTGAATGCCTCATTTGTGTCTCCAAAAATAGAATAGCAAGGGTTAGATCCCAATTCCTCTCCTATTCCCTGGGGATGCTGTGAATGAGTGATGGCTTTACCAGAAAAACACCGAGGCAGATGGTTTGTTCCTTTTTGATCAGAATCTAGAGAAGGCAACACCTCCCTGTGGAGAAGGAATGTTGCCCTCTGAACTTGGAGGCATTCCTCACCCCGAAGTGAGGGCTTTTTGCTAAGACTGGTCCAACATTTTCATTTTCAACCTGTTTACTTTATGTTGAGCTTTGCTTTCTAACCCTGTGACCTTGTCTACACTGTTAGTTTGAGGACAAGATCAATCCTTTAGTAAAGGGGGGTTCAGGCAATGATGTGGGGGAAGGAAGGTGGGGCTGCAGTGCCCCATCTCACCATTAAAGAACTTTCTATTGGACACCTCCCACAGAGATCCTTTCAAAGTGTTCTTTTAAAAGAATATAAAATTTTAGAAAAGACCCCACAAATTTAAACTAAGGTGTGGTAAGACTGCTTGACTCCAGGTCAAAGGTAGGGGTGTCAGGAAAACCAGGGAGCCATCAAGTCCTAGAGACAAGGTCTGAGACTATAATGACCCAGAATCCAGGGAACCAGAGGACGACAGCAAGAACACCAGATCCAGGACATGGAGGAACCTGCAATTCCTCTCATATTGCTCATTTGTGTTCAGGTATCACCCTTCCTTGTGAAGGGTTAGAATTTGGTAATATAATGAATGTTCACACTAAGAGTTTATTAAAAATCAGTACCCTTCTCTTCCTGGGGAAAGAATTCATCTCCTCTCTGTGGCTGATTGTAGACCCCCAGATCACATGTGAAAATGAAATTCTAGGACAATTCCAAGCACCTGAAGATGAGGGAAGTAACCAGATTATACATAGGGTGAGTGTGCTTCTGAAGGGCTCCCCAGAGCAGGCAGACACTGACCTGTGAAGGGTATATTATGGCTGGGAGTCCCATGCTTGGAACCCTGTCTTAAAGTACAGCATGACTTCCATCATGCCTGTGACCTCTTTTAATCACAAATGGCAGATTTCTGCTCCCTCTGCAATCAACACAGCGTCTTCCATCATTCACAGACCTGCAGATCAAGGCACACCCAGGCCCTCTTACTGGTTCCTGCCATAGGGAATCTTCAGGATCAAATGAGTTGTTTTTCACAGTAACCCTGAGATGACACTTAGAGGTAAATCCGTACATAGGACCACCTTAGACATAGTGATGAGGTTTGTCTATGTATTTTTATATTTTTTACTTCTTTTAAACCTTTCCTATCTTTGCTCCTGGCACTTGATACTTTCACATTAGTAGTCCAGGGATAATAAATATATTCCATCTTAAGTGAAAACTGGGAATAATTAGTAGGGAAAGATTGAAGCACTGTATCAAAGACAAAAAAAAAAAGCTGCATGTGAATTCTGTGATTGATTGCTAATGTCTGCCACAGGGACATTATTTGCCATCCCATTTGTCATGTGTTCTTAGAAGACAGAGTCGTTGTCTATTCAGCTTCTGATCTGTAATTATTAACTCTCAAATACCTTTTATAGTTGAGCTATACATGCAGCAACTATGAAATCTTTAATCCCTAATTTGATTGTTTCTAGCTCTGCCCAAATTTCAGCTGTCACAGCATGAGCGACACAGTGTAATAGAAGTGCATCTTCTCAATCCTGATAAGGTGAGAAGTAGCAAGAGCAGAAAGAGAGGAAAAAAAAAAAAACAGAGAAAAGAAGGGTGCAGGTGAAGGTGGTGGGATATATCAGAGAACCCAGCCTAGCCAAAAGAAATAGAAGCCTTCCCAGACACTTAGTGCCCTGTGCTATT